ACCCGCCACCTTAGGTGTACGTGGCTGGCGCCTTAGCCGGTTGAGCTATAGGCGCCGAGCCAAGCGTTCCATATTTTATCAAACTTGTTTGTGTTGAAAAAAGTAAAATAAAATAAAATAAAATAAAAGCAAAATTACCAAACACACTGTGGGAAAAAATCTGAGCTCCTCAGCCTGGCATTCTCCTTCTCTCACACTCAAGTATACTACTTTGTTTCCAATACAATTTCCTCATAGTTTCATATCTGCCTAGTAGACTGGTCTGCTCATTACTCCCTTAGTATCAATTCCTATTCTGAATATCAGTCCCAATGCTCAACTTCATAACAGCTTTTCCCTTTCTTCAAGTTCCAGCTCTAAATCCTTCTGCTTATAAAGTTTCCCAATGACCTAAGTCAGTGCTGTTCGATGGAAATATAACAAAAGACACAGACGCAATTTTAAATTTTCTATTAGCCACATTAAAAAATTATTAAGAAAGAAATGAAATTATTGTTATTTCAACTTGCAATCAATATAAAAATATTGGACTGGCTGCAATGGCTCATGCCTATAATCTTAGCACTTTGGAAGGCCAAGGCAGAATCACTGCTTGAGGCCAGCATTTGCAGAATAGCCTGAAGAATGTAACAAAACTGGGTAGATGGTGCACACCTATAGTCCCAAGTACTTAAGAGGCTAAGGCAGGAGGATCTCTTGAGCCCCGAAGTTCAAGGTTGCAGTGAGCTATGATGATGTCACTGAACTACTCTAGCCTGGGCAACAGAGCAAGATCCTACCTCAAAAAATACATGTAGGCCAGGAGCGGTGGCTCACGCCTATAATCCTAGCGCTCCAGGATACCAAGGCAGGTGGATTGCTTGAGCTCACAAGTTCGAGATCAGCCTGAGCAACAGTGAGACCCCATCTCTAAGAAACAGAGGGGTGTTTTGGTGTGCACCTGTAGTCCTAGCTACTCGGGAGGCTGAGGCAACAGTATTGCTGGAGTCCAAGAGTTTGTAATGCTAAAATTGTAATACTAAACCCATGTTTAACTTCTGCAATTAAAAGAGGTGCTCAGGCTCAGTGCCCATAGCATAGAGGTTTCAGCGTCAGCCACATACACAGAGGCTTGCAGGTTCGAACCCAGCCTGGGCCTGCTAAACAATGACAACTGCAACAAAAAATATCCGGGTGTTGTGGTGGGCGCCTGTAGGACCAGCTACTTGGGAGGCTGAGGCAAGAGAACTGCTTAAGCCCAAGAGTTTGAGGTTGCTGTGAGCTGTGACGCATAACACTCTACTGAGGGCGACACAGTAAGACTCTGTCTCAATAACAACAACAAAAATAAATAAAAATAAAAGAGGAGCTCAAACTTGAGTCATATTCATCTTTTCTTTTCTTTCTTTTTTTTTTAGAGACAGGTTTCATTTTGTCGCCCTAGGTAGAGTGCTATGGCATCACAGCTCATAGCAACCTCCAGCTCTTGGGCTTAGGTGTTTCTCTTGCCTCAGCCTCCCGAGTACCTGGGACTACAGGCACCCGCCACAACGACTAGCTATTTTTTTGTTGTAGTTTGGCCCGGCCAGGTTTAAACCCACCACCCTCTGTATATGGGGCTGGTGCCCTACTCACTGAGCCACAGGTGCTGCCCTTCTTACTGGTGAATATTGAGTATTATAATTTTCATACAGTTTTTTGTTTTCTGAAAACATCTATACATTTTGGCACCCTCTATGTATACTGTATTATATTATGAATGAGACATTTTACATTCTTTTTGCAGACTGAATCTTTGAAATTCAGTGTGTATTTTGCACATACAGCACATGTCAATGTGGACTAGCCGTTTTGCAGGTGCTCAGTAACCACATATGGATAGCGGCTACCATATTAGACAACACAAGAGCTCAGTGATTGCTCCCTGCTCTGAACCTTGTACTCTAGCATACTTATGGTTTCTAGCTTTTGTTTGGTACTTACAAATAATTTCATAATATTTATTTTCTCTTCCCAACTTCATATTAAGGCCCTCTTCTATCTTTTTATACTCCTATCTTCTGAATATCCTCCAAAATGTCTAGTGTGATAGAAAATTCAATTTATTCTTTTTTGCTAAGGGACCAGCTTTCTGTGATTAGAAGATATTCCACATTCAGAATATTTTCACAAAATACAAAAAAACCAAGAGACTATCCTACATTAACTTCCATTTATCTGACCAAATATAGTTCCACCCCCTCCAGTGATAGTTATATATATAGCACAAGGTCAATACTTAATAACAAATATTTATAAATATTTTTACAATTAAATGGTAAAAATAAGTTAATTGTATGCTGAGGTTAACTGGGGTTTTTTGGTCTTTTTTTTTTTTTTGGAAACAGTCTGACTCTGTCACACTGGGTAGACTGCTGTGGTGTCAAGAGATCCACTCAGCCTCCGGAGGAGTGGGAACTCAGGCCTTTGCCACAAAAAAAACTGCCATTTTTTAAGTGATGGGATTTCGCTCTTGCTCAGGCTGGTCTCAAACTCATGAGCTCGAGCAATCCACCCCCTCTGCCTCCCAAAGTGCTAAGATTACCAGTGTGAGCCACTGAGGTACCTTAACCACTTGAGGTTAAGTTTTGAACTAGAGTGCATGAAAAACAAGCTAAAAGAAATCCACATCAGTAAAGTGCAAATTATGTTTGCCCTATTTACCTCAATGAGTCAAGAAAATATGAAAAAAACATTCAAGGGCAGTACTAGTAATGAACCCAATATTAACCTCTGTCAGCAAATTTAATTTCTTACCCATTCCCCAGGTGCAACCCATCTCATCATCTTGGCTACTGGTACTTCTCTTCCCTTCACTGGTATCCATTTCCTCCTCTTCATCTGAGTCTTCTCCTAGCATCTTCTTCTCCAACAGCATTTGCTGCTGTTTGCGCAATTTCTTCAACTGCGTTACGGTTAACTCGGATTCTGCCTCTTGGTCATCCTCTGGTCCCTTATGAACCAAGCAAAAAAGTTCTTTCAGACTTCAGTATCGTGCAAGTTACTCTCAGAAATATGGCAATGTGTAGAGAGGTCTAGAGATGAGGAACCAGATTGATTCCTCCACCTGGGTAATCGCTGTCTGGGAGAATTTCTTTCCCCAACAAAAACTTAAGCAGCTTAGGAACGCAGCGCGATGAGCTCCTGAGATTTCAATTCTAGGTTTTTCTACTTACCTGCAGGATAAAGAGACGGGTGCTGCCTCCAAAGCGAAGAACATGTCCGACGCGGACCCGACAATAGGTGCGGGGTGGGATTCTAGTTTTGTTGAGAAAAGTGCCATGAGTGCTTCCCAGATCGTAGAGGTAGAAGCCCGGCCCGTGGCCGTCGCCTTGTCCGTCTGGACCCGACGCCCTGTGCTGCAGCACAGCGTGGTACCGGGACACAGAAGGGTGCTCCAGGCACACGTCGCAGCTGGACAGCCTCCCGAAGAGGCAGTAACTCGTCCCCTTCAAGCTGCGGGTGCCGAGGATGGTGCCGCCCTTCAGGGTCTCCAGGCTGTAAGGGGCCGTGGTCGGGCCGCCCCATGGCGGCTCTTGGTAGGGGGCAGGCCGGGCCGGACCGCCAGGGCAAGGAGATGGTGCGGAGGGACGTGGCTGCTCCTCCTGTGGACTCCGCGTGTCCCCACTGTCCGGCTGAAGTGACGGGACGTCAGGCTGCCCGGAATCCGGGTCCCGCAGTTCCGTGGGCCTTTCTCTCTTCGCCTCCTCAGAATCCGAGGGACTAGCAGCCGGGGCTTTATCCCGCGGCGCTAGAGGGACGGGCAGAGACGGCTTCTTGAAGGCTCCGCTGAGCTCCTGCGGGGCCGCCGGCTCCGACTGAGAAGGACCATCAGCCATCCTCACTCAGCCGGTGCAGTCCCGAAATCTTTTCCTAGAAACCTCACCCTTCGGCCTCTTCGTTCCCCCGACGTCTCTCTCTCCCAGACTCTCAGGGATTTCTCTGGGCAGCGGTGGTGAACTGCCTCTTCGCGACCCAGAGCGTTGTGAAGTGGTACGTAACGCTGGAAAGTCAAAATAACAGAAAACCAGAGAAAGGCTGTGGCGGTGTTGAGCAGAATGGGGACGTCTTTAGAGGTTGCTACAGGATGGTAATGACTTCCTGTGGCATAGCCTAAATGAGAAGAAACGCTTCCGGCAGTCTTGGACCACTTATCAACAAAACAGCTTTCCGGGCCTGACGCGACCCTTGCCTGGGGCCACTCGGGGTCCGAAAGCCGCCCAGGAGCTTCTATGACGCAGCAGAGAATAGGGGCACCTCCTCGGGTCGATTCAGAGCCGGACCTCTCCATCTTCTGGCTGCCCTGGATGTCGGGCAACCGCAGGACCCGGTGATTGGCGCCTGCGCCCGCTGAACCAGACCGAGGACGCCACCCTCTCCCCCCGGGAATTTGGACATTCCTTAGGTATGGTGCTTGTCTTTCGTGTGCATGTCAATGAGAGTAGGAAGAGGGAAATATTTCTTTTATTTCGTTCATTCATTTATACGTCCGAAGACTAATTATTGAGGCAGTACAGTTAAGTGGTTAAGAGTGCAGACCCTGGAGAGTGTCATCAATTGTGACATTGCGCAAGACCCTGGGCCTCAGCTATCACATCTGAAAAATGGGTAGAATAATACTATCAGTTTCATAGGATTCTTAGGAAAATTGTATTAAACAATAAAAGTGAAGTCTTGCATAGAGTAAGCATTTGCTAAAGTGCCAGATATTACTGTGTGCTGAGATCGTGATCGTAGCAGGTAGGTAGAAGACTAAATGAATAAATAAGCTAAGTGGTAGTTAAAATCTAAGGATAAATGCTGTGACAGAGACATGCAGAGTGCTGTGAGAATATAGAAAGGGAGATGTACTGGGGAAGTGATGGAGGGTGATGACTTAAGCTATACTTAAGAATGAATATCAGGGCTCAGCGCCAATAGCACAGTGGTTATGGGGCCAGCCACATACATGGAGGCTGGCCGCTTCAAACCCAGCCTGGACTAGCTAAACAACAATGACAGCTGCAACAAAAAATAACCGGGCGTTGTGGCAGGCGCCTGTAGGACCAGCTACTTCGGAGGCTGAGGCAAGAGAATCGCTTAAGCCCAACAGTTTGAGGTTGCTGTGAGC